TTGAAAGAAGTTCTGTGCGTAGAGTTCTATCAAACAACATCACATGCTACAGAGAAACTTTTTGTGAAAGGAAAAGTCAATCAGTGTTGACTTGTTATTTTAAGAAACTGCAACAGCCACCCCAACTTTATGCAATCCCCCTTTGATCAGTCAACAGCCGTCAACATTGAGGAAGATCGCCTACCAACAAAAAGATTATGACTCACTAAAGGTTCAGACTATCGTTAGCATTTTTTAGCAATATTTTAAAATTATGGTATGTACTTTTTTTGTGTGAGGTGGAGTCTTGCTCTTTCCCCAGGCTGGAGTGCAATGGCACGATCTCAGCTCACTGCACCCTCCACCTCCCAAGTTCAAGTGATTCTCCTGCCTCAGCTTCCCAAGTAGCCAGGACTACACGCACTTGCCACCATACCCAGCTAATTTGTATTTTTGGTAGAGACAGGGTTTCACCATGTTGGCCAGGATGGTCTCGATCTCTTGACCTTCTGATTTGCCTGCCCTCAGCCTCCCAAATTGCTGGGATTACAGGTGTGAGCCACCACGCCCCGCCATACAATGCATGTCTACGTAATAGACTATAGTATAGTATTAACTTTTTTTTTTTTTTGACACGGAGTCTCACTCAGTCGCCCAGGCTAGAGCACAGTGGTGCGATCTTGGCTTACTGCAACCTCTGCCTCCAGATTTCAAGCAATTCTCCTGCCTCAGCCTCCCAGTAGCTGGGATTACAGGCACCTGCCACCATGCCTGGCTAATTTTTTGTATTTTTAGTAGAGACAGGGTTTCACTATGTTGGCCAGGCCAGTCTCAAACCCATTACCTCAAATGATTTGCCCACCTCAGCCTCCCAAATTGCTGGGATTACAGGCATGAGCCACCACACCTGGCCAACATAACTTTTATATGCACTGGAAAACAAAGTTATGTAACATACTTTATTGTGGTGGTGTAGAATTGAACCCACAATATCTTTGAAGTATGCCTATGTTTCTATTTTGAATTATAGATTTTATCTTTTTTTATATTTGTTGTAATACATTTAGTCAAGATTATCATATATGTAAACTATCAATAAACAGACAACCTACAGAATGGGAGAAAATATTTGCAAACTATGCATCTGACACAGGCCTAATGTCCAGCATCTATAAGGAACTTAAATTCAATATCACTGATGGTTAGAGAAATGCCAATCACCATAATGAGATACCATCTCACACCAGTCATAATGGCTATTAATTCAAAAAGATAACAGATGCTGGCAGAGAGGAGGAAAGTTCCATTTTCCCTTTGGAAGTAAGCTGCAATAGGAACTGAATATGTTAGCCTTAAGTATGTAGACTTTTGCTTATTCTCCTTGTTTGAGCCACTTTATTTTCTCTGAATTCCTCTGCCTGGTGTTCCTGACTTTAGAGTCTGTCTGGTTGCATTTCTCCAGAAGCAGAGAGTAGTCTCCCATCTTCTCTAGGGTAAAGGAGTGATAGACACCTCATTGCACAATGCAAGTAATTGTTTGCCTTATAGACTTCCATTCAGTTTGCTTGTTTTTTAGGGCCCCTGTTCATTTCCATCTTTCAAGGTACATGATTTCTCTAATTTCTCAGCCTTTCTTTAGTTACATAGTAGGAACTTGCTTTGTGACATCTTCGTCTGCAGGCACATGGGTTGCAGCATTCTCAGCACTTCTGTTAGGTAACAATCCTTTCATCTTCCATCTGCTAAAATTACATTTACATCTGTCATCCCTTGTTGTCTGTTATGGTCTTCATCTTCATTTAAGCCTTTTAAATGATCCCTTATAGGTGCACTTTTGGGGAGAACCAGAGCTAAACTCATGTATTTATTATACCATATTTAACCTCAGCTTCTTACTATTTTTTTCCTTCTGATCACTATATTTGCCCCTATACAGTTAACCTAGGTGGGCTTCTCCAGTTTTATGTTCCAGTTGTGTCATCCAGTTTTTAACCTTCCTATTGGTTGTTCTCATTTGATTGATTATTGCAGTATTCAGAACAATATTGCAATATTGTTACACCTGCTCATAGAACAAAACTTTTCAAGTACAAAAGGATATACATTGAAAAGTAATTCTTCTCTTACACATTTTTCCCTTCTATGGTGACAACCCCAGTATTATTTTCCTTTGAGCTATTACTTCTATTTTCAACCATTTTTACTGAAACCCCTTTAAAACTCATAATATTAACCTGTGAATGTCATCTTTATGCAGGTTAATTTTGTCTAAAATGCTTTAATCCCTTTTGTGTTAGTTTCCTAGGGCTGCTGAAACAAAGTACCACAAACTGGGTAACTTTAGAAATAACAGGAACTTATTCCCACAGTTCTGGAGGCCAGAACTGAGAAACCTGGAGGGAAGCTTCCTTGCCTCTTTCAGCTTCTAGTATTCCCAGACATTCCTTGGTTTGTGGCAACATAACTCCACTCTCTCTCCATCTTTGCATGGCGTTTCTTCTGGGTCTCTTGTCTCTTCATGTAGCATTCTTTTTATAAGAACACGAGTCATGTTGTATTTGGGCTTACTTTGTTCCATTTTGATCTCATCTCAACGAATTTCATCTTCAGCGACTCTATTTCTAAATGAGGCCTCATTCTGAGGCACTAGGAATTAGGACTTGAACGTATTATTTTAGGGGCACACAATTCAATCCATAACACAGATCCATTTGTTCAAGTCTCTGTGTTCATGGTTTTCTTCATATGGTTTATGGACATTTTTTATTTCTGTATATTTTTCATACTTTTTGTTGCCATCGTAAATGTAGTTTCTAATTCTATAATTTCTAAATATAGTCAGCCCTTTCTATCCATGGTTTCTGTAACTACATATTGAAAATATTCAGGGGAAAAAAGGCAACAATAAAAAAAATACAAATTTAAAATTATATCAGTGATTTATATAGCATGTATATTGTATTCAGTATTATAAGTAATCTGGAGATGATTTAAAGTATACCAGAGGATCCACATAGGTTATATGAACATACTGCATCATTTTATGTAAGGGATTGAGCATCCATGGATTTTGGTATCCATGGGAGGTCCTGGGACCAGTTCCCAATAGTGAGGAATGACTGTAGTTGTTTGTATATGAAAGTTTTTAAAAATGAATATTGATTCATATATAATTTCTCACTTTTCATAATTGTTCAGATGAACTTGATTTTTCAGGTAAACAGTTTTATTTCTGACAAACAATATTAATTGTCCTTTTCTTTTTTCTTTTTTTTTTTTTTTTTTTTTTTTTTTGAGACATGGTCTTATTCTTTCACCCAGGCTAGAGAGCAGTAGTGTGCTTTCAGCTCCCTGCAATCTTGACCTTCCAGGCTTAGGTGATCCTCCCATCTCAGCCTCCCTACTAGCTGGGACTACAGGCATGTACCACTACACCCAGCTAATTTTTGTATCTTTTGTAGAGACGGGGTTTTGCCATGTTGCTCAGTCTTGTCTTAAACACTCCTGGGCTGAAGAGATCTGTTTGCCTCAGCCTCCCAAAGTGACCCACTTGCACTTGCCTATCTTTTCTTAAGTTTCATGCCTCTGATTTATTTCTTTTTTAATTGTACTACCCAGTACTGCAATAAGTGGTGACAACTCATCTTTTCTTATTTCTGACTTAAATGTGAATGCTTCTGGATGTTTTCCATTGAGTAAAGTGCTGGTGTTTCGGCTATACTGTACTTTATTCTCAAATTAAATGTTATGTGTTCCTATTTTGTAATGGATTTTTTAATAGAAAATAGATGTTGAGTTTTATGATCTTAATATCTACAGAAATGATCACTTGATATTTTTCATTTTTACAAATGACATTTTTCATTAATGATTTACTTATAGTAATGTACTTTCTATTATTAAAACATATTCCTGGAAAAAATGTACTCAACTCAAATGTGGTGTATTTTAGATTTAATGTACTTCTGGGTCAATTCTTTTAGGTCATTTTGATGTTTTACATAGAATTTTTTACATTGGTTTTCATGAATGAAATTGGATAGTTTGCTTTTTTGGTATGTTATCTTTGTCAGGTTTTGCTATTAATGTTTGTTTCATACACAAAAATATTGGGAATTTTTCTCTTTTTTTTAAGCAACATTTTAAACAGCATAGGAGTTGTCCTTTAAATCTGTTAGAATTTTCATGTGGATCTCTGGGTTTTTTCTTTTTGTTTTTAGGGAGTTTTCATATTTCTTGTTCATTTTACAGAAATTGGTTTAGATAAGTTTTCTGCAACTTCTAGAGTCAGTTTTGGTAATTTACAATTTTCAGAAAAAGTGCTGAGATTATAAAAATGTATTTTAATAGAGTCCTGCAAAATGATCTTATAATTTTTAGCTTTCTGGTTTTTTCTCTATCATTATTTCTTACTTTATTTGTACATTCTGCATCTCCTATTTATTTACCTATTTGTTTGCTATCAGATCCTTTTTAAAGCAATCAAAGCTATTTCTATTTATAAATATATATGCCTAGACTGGATGTGGTGTCTCAATGCCTGTATTCCCAGCACTTTGGGAGGCCAAGGCGGGTAGATCAACCTGAGGTCAGGAGTTCAAGACTACCCTGGCTAACATGGTGAAACTTCGTCTCTAATAAAATACAAAAGTTAGCCAGGCTTGGTGGTGGGTGCCTGTAATCCCAGCTATTTAGAAAGCTGAGGCAGGAGAATAGCCTGAACCCACGAGGCAGAGGTTGCAGTGAGCCGAGATCATGCCACTACATTCCAACCTGGGCAACACAGTGAGACTTTGTCTAAAAAATAAAACACACAGACACACACACATACACACAACTCTACTCATATTTCCTTTCCTGAATTTCAATCTCAAAACTTCAGTGATAAGAGATTTATGCACTTGAAAATTTTGTTATCATGGGAGACTAGGCCTTAAACCAAGGATCAATCCGAAAATGTTTTTCATACTACAATATTGGAAAAAAATTCATAAGTGATATTTATTTGCAATCTATTTTAGGAGAAATATGGGGAGTTGATGAGCATCAGAAAAGCCAGGACAGACTTTTGAGACAAGTTGAAGAAAAATTCCAGAAAACACTGACTGAAGAAAAAGGCAATGAATGTCATAAGAAATTTGCAAATGTATTTCCTCTGAACTCTGATTTTTTCCCTTCTAGACACAACCTCTATGAGTATAACTTATTTGGGAAGTGTTTAGAACATAATTTTGACTGTCATAATAATGTGAAATGCCTTATAAGAAAGGAACATTGTGAATATAATGAACCTGTGAAATCATATGGTAATAGCTCATCCCATTTTGTCATTACCCCCTTTAAGTGTAATCATTGTGGAAAAGGCTTCAATCAAACTTTGGACCTCATCAGACATCTGAGAATTCATACTGGAGAGAAGCCCTATGAATGTAGTAACTGTAGAAAAGCCTTTAGTCACAAGGAAAAACTTATTAAACATTATAAAATTCATGGTAGGGAGCAGTCTTATGAATGTAATGAATGTGGTAAAGCTTTCATTAAAATGTCAAATCTTATTAGACATCAAAGAATTCATACTGGAGAGAAACCCTATGCATGTAAGGAATGTGAGAAATCCTTCAGCCAGAAATCAAATCTCATTGATCATGAAAAAATTCATACTGGAGAGAAACCTTATGAATGTAATGAGTGTGGAAAAGCATTCAGCCAGAAGCAAAGCCTCATTGCACATCAGAAAGTTCATACTGGGGAGAAACCTTATGCATGTAATGAATGTGGTAAAGCCTTCCCTCGAATTGCATCCCTTGCTCTTCATATGAGAAGTCATACAGGAGAAAAACCTTATAAGTGTGATAAATGTGGTAAAGCCTTCTCTCAGTTTTCCATGCTTATTATACATGTTAGAATTCATACAGGTGAAAAACCCTACGAATGTAATGAGTGTGGAAAAGCCTTCTCCCAGAGCTCAGCCCTTACTGTACATATGAGAAGTCACACTGGTGAGAAACCCTATGAATGTAAGGAATGCAGAAAAGCCTTCAGCCACAAGAAAAACTTCATTACACACCAGAAAATCCACACTAGAGAGAAACCTTATGAGTGTAATGAATGTGGGAAAGCTTTTATACAGATGTCAAATCTTGTTAGACACCAGAGAATTCATACTGGGGAAAAACCCTATATATGTAAGGAATGTGGGAAAGCCTTTAGCCAGAAATCAAATCTCATTGCTCATGAAAAAATTCATTCTGGAGAGAAACCCTATGAATGCAATGAATGTGGTAAAGCCTTCAGCCAAAAGCAAAACTTTATTACACATCAAAAAGTTCATACTGGAGAGAAACCTTATGATTGCAATGAATGTGGTAAAGCCTTCTCTCAAATTGCATCCCTTACCCTCCATTTGAGAAGTCACACAGGGGAAAAGCCTTATGAATGTGATAAATGCGGTAAAGCCTTCTCTCAGTGCTCACTGCTTAATTTACATATGAGAAGTCACACAGGTGAGAAGCCCTATGTATGTAATGAATGTGGGAAAGCCTTCTCTCAAAGAACTTCCCTTATTGTGCACATGAGAGGTCATACAGGTGAAAAACCCTATGAATGTAATAAATGTGGAAAAGCCTTCTCCCAAAGCTCATCCCTTACTATACATATACGAGGACACACAGGTGAGAAACCCTTTGACTGTAGTAAATGTGGAAAAGCCTTCTCTCAAATCTCATCTCTTACACTTCATATGAGAAAACATACAGGTGAGAAGCCCTATCACTGTATTGAGTGTGGCAAGGCTTTCAGCCAGAAGTCACACCTTGTTAGACACCAGAGAATTCATACTCATTAGAACCCTATGAATATGTGAACATGGCAAAGCTTTCTGAAGGAATTAACACCTCATTGCATATTACATGATCATTTCTAGAGTAGAAGCCTATGAATGTGGAATAGCCTTCTGAAAAAGCCACAAATTTATGAAACATTGGAGAATTCTACCAAGGTGACAAATTCTATAATGAAAAAGCTGATTATCAGAAACTTTCAGCAGACATCTTATTGATCATATTTAATCAGCATTCTCATTGAAATCTGAAACAAGATATCTGCCATCAGCATAACAACACAATACTTGAGCTCCTGGCCAATGTATAAAGTAAGGAAAACAAGATTGGGAAAACCAAGAGTCAATGAAGAACTATAAAAGTAACTTTTGTACAAGAAATAGTTAATTAGAAAATATGTTGGTAGAAAAACCTAAGAATCAACACAAAAATGAATTATGAGGTATTTATAAAGTCACAAAACATATTGAAGGGCACAAAAGAACACCTGAAAATGGCATTTTGTCTGAAAAGACTTGACACTGTCAAAATATAATTTCTCTCCCAAATCTCTAAGTTTAATATACTTCCACTGAAAGTTTACATCAGTTTTAAAGAACTTTACAAACTTATCCAAAAATTTTATATGGAAAAGTAAATAAACACAAATAGCTGAAACAAATTTGACAAAGCAAAATGGAGAAGACACGCTCTAATATTAGATATATCACATACTTATTTAAAGCTGCTGTCATTTAAACAGTGTGTTAGTGAATAAATCAAGCAGTAGTAAGATAATGAGGATCGATACAAAAATCCAACCAGATACAGGAATTCTGTGTCTGACAGTGCTATTGAAATCACTGAGGAATGAATGGCTTATTTAATAAATGGAAGGTTCATAGGAGAAAAATTTTAGCTTTCTACCTTACATATAAAAATAAAATCCAACTAAAGACCAGAATATAAAAAGCAAAATTCTAAAACTATGATGAAAGTAGAATGTATTACTTTAGGGTAAAGGATTTCTTTAAAAGCACATAAACATGGAATAGTCCATTGAATTTTGGTGTACTGGCCTCACAGGCACCTACAAATGTACACAAAGAGATACAGATCACCGTGTTCCTGAACCATGGTTTGTACTGCCCACAATTGGATATAACAAATTTTTATCAACTGTGGAACAGATGAATACATTTGATTATTTCTGTGATAAAATACTATACAGAATTTAGAGAGAAACAAAATCTACATATAGTTACATGGATAGATTACAATATATAATATTGAGAGAAAAAATTAAAGTGCATAACAGAACACAGTATAACATTTGTATCATTTAATAACGTTGTGGAAAGAACAGTACTATATATTGGTCATGGATCCATATACAACATTGGTTGCCTTTTGGGACGTGGAAAAGGTTTGGTGGGAGTTGTTATATTTATCTGTAATATTTCTTTAATAAAAGAGTAAAAGCAAATATAACAGTGGTGACAAAGCTGGTTGTCCAAATTAATTATATCAGTTTTTAAATTTTTTTTTCTTGCCTTTTTTTTTTCCTAATTTCTCTAAAATAATCAGATGGATGGGGGAAACCTGGGCCTGGAGAAACAATCTTAAAATGGCTTCTTAATCTTGATAAGATCCTAACATTTACAGAAAATTCTCTTTACACAAAACATGCCTGACAAGGTATTATTTTGTTTACTGTCTCTTCATGTTAATTGGAATAATAAAATCAGCAATACTTTAGCATTTATTTCAGGGAATTTTTAATTTCATCCTAAATTTTTTTTCTGGTTCAAAGGCACATAGGAACAAAACAATTATTATTGGGATAACTGACTATCCATTTGGGGAAAAAAAATCTACCTTCATTTGGGTTGGCTTTGGAGTGTGGGAAAGAGACCATTCATGCATACTATAAAATGTGGTTTACATTCTAATATGTCAAGCCAAGGATAGTTACTGGTGTTAGAGTAGGAGCAATTGCTATATATGTCAACAAAACTTGCTTTATTTCTGGATCAATAAGTGGGGATGCAGATGCTGGTGATTTTATGTATGCCAGGTAAGGGCCCAGTGGAAAGTGAAAAATTCACTTCATCCTGTTCCACAGATGTTTTATATGCAGGCCTCTCATATAATTATGTTGCAGCCAGGCACAGTGGTGACTCACACCTATAATCCCAGCACTTTGGGAGGCCAGGGCAGGCGGATCATTTGAGGTCAGGAGTTTGACACCACCCTGGCTGACATGGTGGAAACCTGTCTCTACTAAAAGTACAAAAATTAGCTGGGCGTGGTGGCATTTGCTTGTAATCCCAGCTGGCTGGGAGGCTGAGGCATGAGAATCACTTGAACCTGGGAGGCAAAAGTTGCAATGAGCCGACATCATGCCACTGCACTCCAGCCTGGGCGACAGAGTGAGACTCCATCTCAAAAAAAAAAAAAAAAAATGTTTCCTCCAATTTCATTTTCTGTGAATAGTCTATTCATATATTATCTCTGTTTTTTTCTACTAGAACTTTAAAAAATGTTTTTCTTAGAAACAATTATAGATTTATAGGAAGTTACACAAATAATATCCTATGGTACTATTTAGTCCTTGTACCCTACGCCTCGTTTCTCCTAATGGTAACATGTTATGTAATAGACAGTGTCAAATTTAACATAGGTACAATCCACAAACATTATCAGTTTTATGTGCACTTGTGTATGTGTCTGTATAGTTTTACACGGTTTTATCTCATGTGCAGATAAGTGTCACCCTCAACAAACAATATATAAAACTTGTAACACCACAAAGGTCCCTTGTTCTATCCATTTATAGTCACACCCATCTTCCTGTCCTCTCCTCATTTCCCATCCCTAACCCCTGGCAATTACTAATCTATTCTTTATCGTTTTTTCATAATGGATTTTTTTCTTATTTTTTTGTGTTATATTCTGGACACAAATCCTTTGTCAGTTACTTGCATGTTAAAAATATTGTTTTCAGTTTATTTCAAATACAAATTTTAAAGCTGAATGTGAAAATTATATGCTCTATGATACATTTTGAGTTTTTTGTTTTGTTTTGCTTTGAGACAGAGGACAGAGTTTCGCTCTTGTTGCCCAGGCTAGAATGCAGTGGTGCAATCTTGGCTCACCACAACCTCCGCCTCCTTGGTTCAAGCAGTTCTCCTGCCTCAGCCTTCTGAGTAGTTGGGATTACAGGCATGCACCACCATGCCTGGTTAATTTTTTGTGTTTTTGGTAGAGACAGTGTTTCACCATGTTGGTCAGGCTGGTCTCAAACTCCTGACCTCAGGTGATCCACCCACCTCGGCCTCCCAAAGTGCTAGGATTACGGGCATGAGCCACCATACCTGGCCGAGTTAATTTTCTATAAGGAATAAACTTTAGGTCAAGGTTTATTTTTTGGATGTCTACTTTTACAATGCTATTCATTGAAAAAAATGTTTTTTCTCCATTAAATTGCTTGGCCTACTTGTATGCTTCTGAACGTTCTTCCTTTCCATCAGTCTATGCATCTATCCCTCTATCAGTGCCACACTGTCTTGATTACTGTAGCTATGTAGTGATTCCTCTCACTTTATTTTTATTTTTTAGGCAGGGTCTCACTCCTGTCACCCAGGCTGGAGTACAATGGCGCAGTCACAGCTCACTGCAGCCTCAAGTTCCCAGAATCTAATGAGTCTGCCAGCCGAGTAGCTGAGACTACAGGTGTGTGTCACCACACTCAGCTAATTTTGTATTTTTAGTAGAGATGGTTTTGCTGTGTTGCCCAGGCTGGTCTCAAACTCTTGAGCTCAAGGAATCCTCCAACCTTGGCCTCCCAGAATGCTGGAATTACAGGCGTGAGCCACCACACCTGACCTGTTACTTATTTTCAAAATTCATTTAGCTATTATACCTTCTTTGCTTTTTAATATAAATTTTTGGATCAGCCCTGCTTAAATTTTGATCGAAATTGCATTAAGCCTTTATTTCACTGGGTGAAGAATGGAAATCTTTACTGAGCCTTCCACTCCATAAGCATAATATGTATCTTGATTTATGTAGGTCTTTGATTTCATCAGTTTTCATCGTTTTATAGTTTTAATTAAATGTACTACATTTAAACTTAACTGCTTCACTGGATGTGTGTGTTGTGACATTCTTGTTTGTAAATTCCTTTGAATTTTCTATGTAGAAAATAATATAATCTGCAAATAGGGCCAGTTATATTTTGTTCTTTCCAATCAATATGCTTTCTGTTTACATTTCTGGCCTTATAAATGGTCAGTAAACTTCTGGAATGGGATTAAATTTTAAAGCTGACTTCTGGGAGAAAATCAGTTAAGCAGTCATCAAAGGCTAAAACATAAGAGGCAGTGAAAACACATAAAGGGAGGCAAGGGTTGAAAAGAAACCACTGGGTACCATGCTCAGTACATGGGTGACAGGATCATTTGTACCCCAAACCTCAGCATCACACAATATACCCAGGTAAAAACCTGCACATGTACCCCGAGTCTAAAATTTTTTTTAAAGGCCAGGTACAGTGGCTCACACCTGTAATCCCAGCACTTTGGGAGGCCAGGGCAGGTGGATCACAAGGTCAGGAGATTGAGACCATCCTGGCCAACATGGTGAAATCCCGTCTCTACTAAAATACAAAAAATTAGCTGGGCATGGTGGCATGCACCTGTAGTCCCAGCTACTTGGAAGGCTGAGGCAGAAGAATTGCTTGAACAGGGAGGCAGAGTTTGCGGTGAGCCAAGATCGCACCACTGCACTCCAGCCTGGCGACAGAGCGAGACTCTGTCTCAAAAAAAAATAATTTTTTAAAAAAGAGATGATATTTAAAGGAGAAATGGGATTAGCCTATACTAAAGTAACAGTCACTTTTACAGAGAAAATTCCATAGTTTTTAATCCCTGAAGTAGCCTGAGTTTCAAAGAACCTAACTGAGATAGGTAATCTGGGTGGAGCTTTGCTCCCATCAGCCAACAGCAGGAAGGAAGGATCAGTTGTAAATACTATGGGAATCTAACTAGAGATTCCTTCCTGGAATCCCAGTTGAAAACATAGCAACCAGGTAATTAAGGTCTCTGTCAGTTCTCCTGACCTCAAGTGATTGACCTGCCCCTGCCTCCCAAAGTGCTGGGATTACAGGCATGGGCCTGGCAGGCTCTCTATCAGTTCTAACCATTTCTATTGAGCCATGTACACGAATTCAAGAAAGTCCTTTCCTCATGTGTAAGTTCCACAACACCATAAGGGTACACCATGGTACACATGGACATAAAGATGGAAACTGCAGACAGTGGGACTATTGGAGAGCACGCAGAGTGGAGTTAAGAGCTAAAATACCTGTTGGATACCATGCTCACCACCTGGGTGACAGGATCATTTGTACCCCAAACCTTGGCATCGTGCATTATACCTATGGAACAAACCTGTACATGTACTCCCTGAATCTAAAATAAAAGTTGAATTTTTTTTTTTTTGAGACGGAGTCTCACTGTCACCAGGCTGGAGTGCAGTGGTGTGATCTCAGCTCACCACCACCTCCGCCGCACAAGTTCAAGCAATTCTCCTGCCTCAGCCTCCTGAGTAGCTTGGATTACAGGCATGCACCACCATGCCCAGCTAACGTTTGTATTTTTAGTAGAGACGGCTTTCACCATGTTGGCCAGGATGGTCTCAATCTCCTAACTTCATGATCCACGCACCTCACCCTCCGAAAGAGCTGGGATTACAGGCGTGAGCCACCACGCCCAGCCAAGTAGAAATTTTTTTTAAGGTACAACAGCAGAAATCAAAACTGATTCCTGAAGTCAGCCTTGTGATTTTTTCAGGTGTGGCCCATTGTGTGTGCAGGAAAACAGAAATCAAAGCAGCAGTAGGGAGTGAAGTGGGGATCAGTTTTAGGTCTAATCTATAGTATGAAAAGAACATAGGTAATTCCAGTAAAATTCTGATGGTAGAATAGGGTGATAGAATATATGTGCTTTTATGAAATTAAATGAGGCCAGGTGTGGTGGCTCATCAAGCCCACCTCATTAACACCAACAACTGATTATTATAATTTGCACCTGGGACAGAAGTGGCAGTCTTCTGTGGAAATGTCCCAGTCTCTCCTTGTAGACAGTGTCACTCTTCTTACAGGTGACATGATAATGACATCTCCACAGGGAGAGGGGAGCCATAAATATGGTACCCTTGCCTGTGTTATAAGATACCCCATGCACAACCCAGTAAGACATTCCCGCCCACAGTTATAAGCAGCAGAGGCTCATCCAGAGACAGTCATTTAGAAAGTACAACATGAGAAGGCGAGGTCTCTCCTGGAGAGAAGTTTGGATTAGGGCTATATTTTTGGAGCAATAGGTGCTTTCCTCTGCCTTACTTCACGAAATCTCCACCTGCCCAGAGCCCAGTTTACCTGGAATAAACTTGATTGTGTTGTAGGATCCACATAATGTCCAAGAGGAACCCACA